GGAGATCTTCAAAACCCACCTGGATGCCACCCTGTGCCACGTGCTCTAGGTGTCCCGCTGGAGCAGGGGGGTTGGACTAGATGATCTCTAGAGGTCCCTTCCAACCTCAACCATTCTGGGATTCTGTGACTCTGTGTACCTCATTCTGATGACATCCTTCCCTGCAGCCCCAGGTTCACAGACAGTGAAAGGTAGGAGCTAGCTCTTCCTTGGGATACAATTCTCTCCTTTCAGCTCTTCTGCAGATGTCCTGGGGGAGCTATGCCAAATACATGTGCCTATCACTACTGGCCTAGGTGTAGTTCGGTGCTGTTACCCTGCGGGGCTTTAGCAAAAAAAAAAATGATGAAGGGCGATACTCATCCATTACCACCTACCATGGAATAATATCCCAAGCTGAAAACAAAATAATGCTATATTGTATTCAGGCCTCTGACAAGTCCCTGTCCTCAGATACAAGCTTCGATCCTCCACTGTTTTCCCTCTGTTACAAAGGACATATTTATTTGGTCAAAGAATGACAATTCTATTGGCTTTTGGGATGCAACTAAGGGTGGAGAAATCCTGGATGTTTCTGGGTGAGGATAAAGAGATGTTACCAGGGGTGTTTATTTTTATATAGCGTTTGGAACAAGAGAAAAAAAAAAAAAACCTTCTGCCTGTTAACTGGGAAACAAATCCAGCCTAAAAACTTTGATCAACTCTCACTGCAGGAAATGGGAAACTCTGTGCTGCTTCACGGGGAACCAAAGCAGGCCGAAGCGAAGGGAACCAAAACAAGCAGCCACCCACCAATAAAATGTGTGCAATAAAGTGCTGTCAGAGAGATCAAGGGCTGTGCATATACTTTCGGAAGGATTTGTTTGCACTGTCATCACAGGCCACGAAGAAGAGGATTCCATATTCCTGGAGTCATTCATCTAGACTACTCCCATATTGATCTTTAAACTCTGTGGTGGTGCAGCCCCATTTCCTCATGCTTACCAGGGGAGAGACAACAGAGAGAACAAGAACCAAGGTTCTACTCATTCCATAAAGACCCTTTAGAAATGCTGCTGAGCAGCACTTCATCTTTTAAATCCTCTGGCTACCACTTCAATTAGGGGTAATTATATGGTGGTATGTTGCAATCGGCAGGGGGGACTATAGCTGAGGGGTAAATTCAGTTTCGTTGTAAATGGGAAGTGAATGGTGGAGGAAGAACCGTAGACATCTGCATCTTTTTCTCCAACTCTACAGTCCAGATGCTGCTGTGATTTGCATTCATTGCAAGCAGCACATCTGTCTATCTGGAACTCAGAGCAAAATGTGTGTCAATGTGAGAACAAAAAGTTCCAGAATGTGTTGAACTGTTGACAGGTCAGTGTGCAATTGCAGGTGATAACTTAGATATAAAATTAACCATGTCAATTCTCTTCCTTCTAGTTGTATCAGATACCTACAGTCTGAGGCTTTTCTTATGTAAGCTGTTGATCGCCAGGAGGTGTTGAAAAGATTTTCTGAGAGGGTACCTGAGGGTATTAGTTTCTCTTAAGCATAATTCCTCCTGATTAATAAGCGTTGTCCACAAATGATGACAATTTGGATTCCTGAGTCCTTAAAAGGAGTTGAACAGAGTCTTCATGACAGCGCTCTCAGCAGTCTTTGCCAAACGGGCATGGTTTCCAGCTTTATTCCTCAGAACCAGCTTGTGCCTCTGATGCAGATCTCTAAAACACGGCATTTTCTCCTTCTTGGAAAGTGCTTTGTGATGCAGGATGAGAGGTGCAGGAAACTAGAGTATTGTCGGTGCTTTGCAAATAGAGGTTTGACAAAGTCTCTACCTCAAAGATAGTACAATCTAAAAATATAAATAAAAATGATTAACTGCCCTTAGTCATTTTAGGACGAACAGTCACATTCAAAGCACATAGTTTCTTTTCCAATATTCACTATCATTAGCTAATTATTAAGCGCAAACAAATATAAAGGGTGCTTTGTTCTATTTGCCCCTATTTACCAACTTTTATCTGACTAGGGCTGCTGAAGGAAAAAACAATATTTACATCATTGGACTGAAGCTTTCCCCAGAAGCTTTCAGATGCTACTAGCTCAAAAACCAACAGGAATGGCTGTGATCCAACAAGACTGAAGTTTGGAGATGTGTCTACTGCTGCAAGACCTTTGGCGAAGGATTCTCCTCAGGCTCTTGGGAAGTTGCTAGTGATAAAGCCAAACTGCACCGAAAGTTCATTGTGGTATATGTGAGTATGTGGGAATACTGCAGAATTCTCTTTAAGAAACTTCTTGTATGTGCTATGCAGGTAGACAGATTGAAATCTGAGACACGGGCCTTGCAGTGTGTTAAAACAACACTAAAACAACATAATGGAGTTCAGGTGTGGTATCTTGATGAGCTCCATATTAAGGTCTCCGTGCCCTCATTCATACCTGTAGGGAGCAGGAACTCTTTCTTCAGATTTATGTCAGGAAAAGCTCTTAGACTCAGTGGAATCTCTTTGGTGACGCTTTTAACCTGCGGTTTGGGAGGTGTTTTAAAACTGCCATCTGTGAGCACTTTACCTCTGACTGAACAGAATTTTCTGACTTGTGATTACTGCAAATGCTAGGTAATCCTGCATTTGGAAAATAGTTAGAAATCTTGCTGATATATGACCCCCAAATAAATCTACTCCATGTTTCTATAGTTTCAAAAAATGAACAAGCTCCCCAGTTACTTGACTTGCTTTTATCCGAGTGAGAATCGAGTATCTCTCTGACCAACAAGAGGACCTAAGCTGCAGACAGTTACACAGAGTTGACCTGTACTGTTGCATGAAGAGGGGTAGCTGAGTAAGCCAGCTTGGACGAACATAAGCAGCCACATGCCTTTAGTTGCAACTTGCTTGTTTGGAGTGAGGTAAGTGCCACTTTGCTGCTCTGTCACATGCACTGTAGCAAGGCCAGTGCTCAACGGAGAGGCTATCTGCCATGACTGCAACAAAGCAGCTATTCTGAAGCTTATTGGAGGCATTTCTGTGGCTGCACCTAGGACATGTCACTGTGTTGGTGGGATCAGAGCTGCAGGAAGAACACTGTAGCAACTGCTGACACCTGGGCTTGGAAGGACTAAGGTTTTATCATTGATGCTTCTGCTGAGCAAGGGAAGCTTTGGTCTGCTCTGGTTGAACATTATGTGAAATCTGGTTGGTCCCCTGATGGATGAGAGAGTGTCAAACTGTGCCCTAAGTTTCCGGGCAAGAACTACAAAGTTGGTTTGCTAAAGGGTTTTTCTGTGATGACTGGCCCAGAAACACACCACAGAGGTAATACCTGGGAAACCATGCTCTCACTCTCCTTGTCATGTTATTCCCAGCACCTTCAGCTTCTCGTCCTTGAGACAGATGCTAACGATCAGAGCTGTCCATGAATAGTTTGTCTCTTCTTTTGTTCCTGTTCTCCATGGGAGAGGGCAGCGATGCCCTGCGTACGCTGCGTGCTAGAAGGCACTGCTTGGGCGCAGACCGAGCCTGCTTCAGACCCACCTCAGCTGGCTGCTACGGTGAAGGAGCAGTGGAATTTCTGCTTTGGTAGCCAGCTGGGCAGGGAGAGTATCCCTGAGAAAGACACTGTGGAAGATGTAAGTATTTTTGTATGCTGCTACCTTAAGAACTTGAGTCTGCCAGGTGCCAAATGCCTCTGGCAGCCTCCCAGTTCTGTGGGAACTGAAAGGCTCAGCTTGTTCCAGACAGTTTTACACGCCACAGAATCAGACCCCAGATAAACTGCAAGCTCTGCGCACAAAGGCTCTTAATCTGTTGGGAGGAGAGTGAATCATATCCCTGAGAAACAGGACTTCAAATTTTTAGCAACTACTCACCCTGTAAAAGCCTGATAGATGTTACCCTGAAAGTCTTTCATAGAGGTGAATCAATTCCACTGTATCTTGCACCATTTCCTCACATTGCTCTTTGTCTGTTTTCCTGAGTGAGTCACCTGGGTTGTGATCGCTTGGTACACGCTTCTAAAATCTTGTGCAATGTTGTCGTGACTGCCATGCAGTTGGTAGGTGCCTTACGTGTTTGTTGCATAAGGCTTAAAAAAATACTCATGTTTCAGACAAACAAATAACGTAAATGTCAGTATGACTGCTCTAACATAGTAAGTTTGCAGAAGGTGGAGGCACAGCGAAAGATATGATGAACCCTGATTTTGGCACTTTGGCCAGACATTCACTAGTTTGTAATTTTTCTTTCAATTCAATCTCTGCACTGTCTACCTGTGAACGATAAAGAAAGAGACGACACTGCCATCGTACACATGAACTGATGTGGTTTTACTGCATTTGGCCACACACTTGAATGAAATATGCTGGCACAGAGCGCAGCCACAGGTCTTATCTCTGCTGCTACTCCCTTTACAACGGCACCATCTTTACATCAACAGTTTTCCTTCCTTGGCTAGATAACATTGCAATCCTGTCTTCTGCCCTTGGTCAGAATGCAGAGATTAAAAACACTCAGTTGATGCAAACGGTGGGCTGGTACAACACACAGAATGGGGTGTAGATGTGCTTCACACAACAGAGAGCAGAATTGAAGGGGAAAATGTTGCTTGGAGGCAAGACGCCTCTTTAGTTGATTATGGCAAGGAAAATCAAATACCATATCTGCTTTTCCTGGAGTATATTGAGACTGATCATAACTAACATCTGTTCATGTTAAGCAAATACTTGTCATGATTTAAACTTCTGTTTGCATACAACTCTGAGTAGTGCATCTTAAAGTCATACATATTCATATAGAATGAAGAATGCATAATGTCTGCATAAAAAGAGAAGCTGTATGACTATATATGAAGACAACAACTACAATTCTCACAGCACTGTCATTGGTTATTTTTAAAATATTCAAGCATTATTTAAAAAACAGTAAGCTGAACTTAAACTACACTACGAAAAAAATGTATAACTGAACCAATGCTGACTTGTTTTCCTCAGTATTAATCAATTTTAAAATTTCCCTTTTTTTATCTAACACCTTTTGTTAATTAGCTGTTATTTTGACCTCCAGTAACATGATCAGACTTCTTCTGCCTCCGGGCAATTGAGTTATGCTCTGATCTCAAGCTCTGAGGGAAATGTTCAATTCTATTTTTTCCACAGTTGAATAAACAGTACCATGTATACTATCTCTTGTGTTAGAATAGCGTTGTCTTCACATAAGACTCAAATAATGGTATTAGTCATTCATTTCCTTGTACACATACACCCTATTGCGTGTTGACAGGTTTATAAGGATGCAGTGGCAGCCGTGGGCGCTGGGAAGCTCCTAGACGACAGCCTTTGAATCCTTGCAGTCCTGAGCAATGGTGCCTGAGTTAGTCTGTTTATTGTCTGCTTTCTCTCCCAGATGCTTGACTTGTCTGAAAGATTAATACATCAACAAGAGCGGTGAGGTCCAGGGTTGCACATCTTTAAGGCATGTTTATTAGCAGATGGCACATGAGATTCAAAGGTCACTGTGCAAGGTAACATTTTAAAGTGAAATAACAATATTTATGTTCAAATACTATGCTGATGAGATCATATGGAAAAAATGCTTCTGATTAAATTAGTTTATAAAAAACCACAATATATCTATCGAAAATTCCAAATGCCACTTGTGGTCTTTCTTCCTCTTAGTCTATGGCTTCCTAAATTACTTAGAAAGAGAAGGCTACCTTTTTACTTAAGGAGACTAACAACTGGAAAAAATCTATACTGGATTCTACAGACAATCCTAATTTTTTAAATAATTGAAAATCCAGTGTGAAACTTGCATCTATTGTCTGCTACTTAATACTAATATTCCAGATATGGGTTTTTAAGATCTGTCAGAAATTTTATCTTACTTTACATTCTCTAGGATAAAATTCATCTTGCAGACACAAGGACTTACGGGCGAATAGCTATCTTATTTACAGGCAATATCATGTGCTGTAACACATTTGACAAAAATCGTGTTATGCTACTTACACAGAATCCATAAAATAAAGAGAAAATCCTTTTCCTTTAGGATTTCCATAGGAGGACTGACTGCTGGATAGTTCATTACTAAGTAATGAACTGGTAATTGCCAGTAAAGCTAAATGTGAAATCCTTTTTATCCTCTCAAATTGTGAAAAAAAATATGCAAATACCAAAGGAAATCTTTATTGCACAGGTTTAAAAGGGCAACTAAGCCCTTAATTAACATTTCTTATCTACCATGCCACACAGGCATTAAAATGTAGAGAATTTAAAAGGCACTTACTTTTCAAGTGATCCATTTTCAACTTTCATAGCCCCTTCCACTGGATCCAGTCCTTGTTCTGAAAACTGTTTCAAGGCACTTAGCGCTGCCTAAAATAAAAATGAGCTGTCAAAACCCCACTAACATAACAATATTAACACCAAGTGAAGGAAGGTAGGTATTTTACTTTTAGATCATTTATTGCAGTTTGAGGCCATTGAGACTACAGTGCTAATAAAGAAGCTGCATATAGTGCCCAGCCAAACAGCTGTGTGTGTGCGCAGGCTCGAGGGTATCTTCATCTTCCTGGGCATGTGAGAGACTTCCATTCATGCTAATGAAAGCTGCATTACCTAAGGGAAGAGCAAGATAAACCTTCAGGATCCTGTGAAGTCTCTCTAGCCTTCTCATATGCTTTCCTGGAGCCTGTGCTTTTTGCAGCACTTGTGGAAGGATTCCTGTCTTCTGGATGACTGCAAGAGTTGTGAGTTGCAGAAAAAGGGTCGCTAGGACAGTACCAACAGGCCAGGTCTAGATTTCAAAGAATGCAACAGACCGATGTCTTGCACACAGCTCACTCAAGTGAGCGAAATAGGGTGAGCCAAAACAGACTGGTTACAGAGCAACAATGGAAGAATGATCAATTTTACCGCTTAGATCTTTTCTGCATAATCACGTTCTTTATTCTTTAGAGCTTCTCTCTCCCCTTCACTAGGCCTGCTTTAGTTCTGTAAAGCAAATTGTCTTTCCCTCCCCTAACTGCTCTGGCAAAAGAAAAATGATTTTTCATAATTAATTTAGCAAAGGTTGATTACGAAACTCATGGATACCATGTGCCTCCCTCTAAAAACACACCCAACACATTAAAACAGTGGAGGCCACTTCTGTCTTAGAGGTGAAATGCAAAATTAAACTGAAAACAGATTTTTCTATTCAATCACTCTATGTAGTCACTTGCACTCCAGACTCATCACAAAAAAAAAAAAAGGAGGGGGGGGGGAGAACCTTTTCTTTGGCATTACCATAGAAAGTAACATCCCATACACTGGAACTGAGTGCAGGTCTTGCAGCATTGCTTTCCATGGTCAGACCAGCAAGCACCTTTTAGAAATGTGAGAGTTGCTCTCTTTTTACTTGACAAGACAAGACAGTTTCTATCTCCATTTCCCATTTCTCTTGGGCAACATGGACACTGTCCACAACAGGAGCTGCCATTGCAGTGAAGTAGCAGATTTGCTTCCACAGTAATGCTTTGTCTGGATTCTCTCAACAGCTCCTTTTCTTGAAAGGTATGTTTATACAACTTAAATATTATTAGACAATGTGTATCTTGGCAAGATAAATAACAGCACGAGAATTGCTAGGCTGCCCTAGACTGAAAGGCCGTGTATCCCAGATTTGTCCAGAGCAACGACGAGTTTCTAGAGCTTCAGAAGGCACCCCCATCTATAATTGACATGGGGGGAATCTTCCCAGCCTGTGAAGTTTTGTCCTAGTAAACAAAGATAAAGCTAAACATTTCTTAAAATGTCTTGCCAAAGCTCAGACTATCACTATTATTTACCTGTTCCTTTTCCTCTTGCCGTGTCTTCTAGGCCTCCTGTATCTCATTGCTATCTACTTGCTTCTTCTTGCCATCCACTGACATCATCTCAAAATTCCCACTGCCAAATCTTTCTTGTTTCCTTTTTTTTTTTTTCCAGGTATGGCATTATAATCATAGAGAGAGAGGCTACCTTGCTGGCATTCACCTAGTCCTGTGCTTGGCTATGGAGTAGTTCAAATTAAAGTAGACAAAATTAATTCTAGCTAGAAATAAAGAGCAGGTACGTGCAGTCCCCACCATTTTAACATGGGTGGTGGCGATCCTGCTCAATCAGGTGCCACACTCTGGATTATGAACATCTGATGTCCAGTTCTGAGCCAAGGCAGGGCAAGGAGGACAGATGGCTGGTGCCACTGCCACTGATCCTGCTTCCTTCCCTCTCTCTAAGCTGGGGGACCAGCTCAGAGCCCAGGTTTTCTTGATCACTTTTTGGAGAGACCCAGCTACTGCCCTTAGGCAGAGGCTGCACTCCTGGTCTGTGGCTCCAAAATATGTTGTTTCCAGCCTAACTTCCTTCTTATTGCTCTCATGCTGTTTGATCCCATGTCTGCCCATGCCATCATGCTCCCTTAGCTGAGCCAGCACAACTGTTTGGCAGATCTAGCTGGGAAACAGGTCAGCGAACCAATTTAGCTTAAAAAATACACTGCCAAATTAAAATATGTATGAGTATATACACATTACAGGCTGTCTCAACGGGCACAGGGGATAGAGGTGGAGAGCCAAGCAGGGTAGGTATGAGCTGGACTCCCATGTCCTTTATTCGTGGATGATTTATTTTCAGACCACTTGAGACACTCACATCCTACTAGAGCGAGACACCGAAGTTTTAAGCAACTTAAAGCCTAGGCTGATTGCCTAAAACAGATATTCTGGATCTTGTTCATTGCATTTAGGGACACATCCCGCTAATCTTCTCCTAACTTGCAGCTTTGTCGCTAACAAGAACACTTGCATTCTCTGCTTAAGTTCTCCTTTCTTCGCTTGTTTTTTCCTAATAAATGTTGGGGAAATGATGACCTCTCATTTATTTATTTCTATGTAAGGCAGTCTATGAACTAGTACCAGGTAGGGCTGTGAAGAGAAAAGGAAGCTGAGACATCTGCTACTACTACAGAGTTTTATTGCTACTTCATCTGTTTCTTGAACCCACCTTCCACGTCTTGCTTCTTCACCTGATGTGTGAATTGTAAACATTTTGCCCAAGAACTATTTGTTCAAGTTATCTGCCTGTACAGTGGCTAACACAATGAGATCCTCATCACAATAAGTAGCAAGAAGTGCCAAGTAATACTTCAGTCAAGATTAGATCACACTTTGATCATATGATGTGCAGAGCAGTCTGATCTTGATCAGTGGTTGCTAAAATCCCCAGAAAATCGGCAGAGGAATTGAACCAACCCAAACTTCTTAATTCCTTTACAGAATTCCTCTGGATATGAGTGCATTTGTTACTTACTGCTGGTCTGCTTACTTGCATGTCAGCATGTATCATCACTATGTTGATGTCAAGGATGCAAATACAGAACTTGCAGAGGAAATACATAAAATGAAGACGTGTAATGATAACCACTGTTTTATGCCACCACAAGTTTCAAATCCTAATGCTTGTTACACAGTGAAGTCTCACTGCTCTCAGTTCTCCATCGCACCCTCTTCAAACTATACCCTTCCCCAATCCAAACATGACAGAAAATAAAAGGCCTCAAAACTACCATATTTCTGGAATCAAGTATTGGAAGAGGTGAGCGGCAGGAAAGCCACTCCTGCTACTCCAGCTACTGTTGAAAAGTCACGTTTTTTGCCATCCCTCATTGCCTAGTTTCCCACCTTTGCTTCTCTTGGGAGCCTACAGCCCTTCCCAAAGCTCAGGCTTCTCACAGAGGAGCTGCAGTTCTTAGCACCTTCAGCCTCAGTCTCATGTCCCTCCAGCACATGGTCCCTGGTCTTCCCTCCTTACTCCTTCCATCCCAAAGCTCCAGCTTACATAACAACAGAGGAACTCATCTCTCCTGCTCCACAAATCCTCACACACTTAGGCCCCTATTTTTTCCTGCTCCTAAATTCTCTCCCACCCAAGATTCCCCAGGTACTCTCAGCTTCCATAAGTAAGCTCTCCTTGCACAGGTCCTCCCAAGCTCCTACACCCTACAGCCCTTCTTTATTTTCCAGTTTCCTAATGTGTTTCAAGTTAATACTTGACATGATTTCTTTTGCATGGAAACATGTCTCTCTCCCCATAAGATGTCTGGGAGGAAGCCTTAACATCCTATTTCATGACTTTTTACAACAACATTTGATTTTGGAAAAGCTCCTTTCCGTTTGAAAATGCTGTTTAACTACATGTGACTGAAGAGCCAGAGATGAAAGGCAGGGGCTTAGATTATCTTAAAAGTTCCTGTTTTTCTTTCTCCTGGTTCTCCTATAGCTTGCTTATGTTTGGATGGAGCAGAAAAGCTGGGAGAAGCTCCTAAATAAACAACATTTTGGACCTTAACAGATGTACTAAATGCTTCTCCCCACCTCCTCATGCCCCGAAGCAGATATGAAAATCCTAGATTTAGGAAGGAACCTGGTAGCTAAGAGGTGGTGACCGGAATAGTCGGCAGAGTGACACAGAGCCCAAGCAGTGCAGAAGTGCAGTGAAGAAGAGTTACAAGGAGACACTGGGCTAATTTAATCCATGTTTCAATTCTATTGGTCCCAGCAGATTCAGACGCTTGGCTTAAATATAACTTGTGAATGGCAGATAACTTAGGTTAAATGAAAAGGAAAGAAAAGAATGGAACATTTGACAGTGAATCTGGTGAACAATTTCCTCTTTTAAAGGCTCAACACTTCCTTCCATTGATATTTTTCTTACAATAGAGCATCTGCACAGATATAGAGAAATATTTCTCTCCCCCAGAAGATTTTACAACTGTTTTGTGAGTGAAGCCCCATAGGTTACAGAACAGATGTCCTTACACATTTCTTGTATCACTTGTTTTCTATGTAGCTACAGCAGTGCCAAAAATACGATGCCAACAGGATGCACCGCGCTGCTAGTTGTTTGTCTTGGCTGCCACTTCATTACTGCTATGTGTGTGTATGAGAATGGGGATGGATGTTTCCAGTCACTTTTTTAGCTTTCCTCAAGTCAATTAGCAATTAGTAAATAGCATTGAAACTTGTGAATATTCTTCCTGTTTCCCACTCTGGGGATTAAGCATCTTGTAATGGCAGTCTAGTAACATTAGATCATTCTTTTAGCAAGAACAGCAGACAGGCACTACACTAGCCTATGCACATTTATGCTCACAGACTTATGATAAAGGTTTCACATTTGTTTTAGCACAGTATGTGGCTTGTGTTTTTCCCCTTAAATCTTTATTCCATTTCAGATTATTCCATGAAACTGAAAATAATAAAACTTTGTAGTTCTCTGTGGTCCTTCCAGTTGACTTTAGTAAAGAGATCTAAAACAATCCTCATAAATACACTGCTTGACATTGTTAATCCACT